CTTGCCAGTTCTCAACCACCCCTACCACCTCAGTTTTAAAAAGAAAGAGTAGGCTGGGCACAGTGAATCACGCCTGTAACGTGTATCAGGCAGGTGTATCACCTGACATCAGGAGTTCGAGACCAGCCTGAGCAACATGGTGAAACCCTATCTCTACTAAAAACACAAAAATTAGCCAAGCGTGGTGGCACGCACCTGTGGTCCCAGCTACTCAGGAGGCTGAGGCGGAAGAATCCCTTGAACCCTGGAGGCGGAGGTTGCAGTGAGCCAAGATTGCACCACTGCACTCCAGCCTGGTGACAGAGCAAGACTCCGTCTCAAAATACATAAATAAATAAATAAATAAAGTCAGGCATCGTGGCTCATGCCTGCAGTCCCTGCTACTTGGGAGGCTGAGGTGGGAGGATTGCTTGAGCTCAGGAATCTGAGGCTGCAGTGAGCTATGATCCTACCACTGCACTCCAGCCTGGGTGACAGAACGAGACTGTGACTCTTAAAAAAAAAAAAAAAGCAGCTGGGTGCGGTGGCTCACGCCTGTAATCCTGGCACTTTAGGAGGCCAAGGTGGGTGGATCACGAGGTCAGGAGTTCGAGACCAGCCTGGCTAACATAGTGAAACCCCGTCTCTACTAAAAACACAAAAAAAGCAGCCGGGCGTGGTGGTGCCCACCTGTAATCCCAGCTACTTGGGAGGCTGAGACAAGGAGACGCGCTTAAACCCAAGAGGCAGAGGTTGCAGTAAGCAGAGATTGTGCCACTGCACTCCAGCCCAGGCGACAGTGCAAGACTCTGTCGAGAGAGAGAGAGAGAGAGAGACTCAAGGGAGCTTTCTGTGTGGTCTCTCATTTTGCAATATGGTGGGCACCAGCACAGCAGAGGACGAAGGGAGGACTGGGAGCCCCTCAACAGGCCTTCTGAACACATGAAATGTGCATCTGAATTTGCAGTTTCATGCACCATTTACGAGTTTAAATGTCATCGCCACATGTGGCTAGAGGCTACCATATTGGGCAATGGAGATCTAGACAGGGGAGCTGTCCACCTCAGGGTCATGGAGCTGATGATCTGAGTCTCCAACCTCAATATATGTGACACAGTTGGGAACTAGGAGAAGAGTCAGAGGGTCAGAGTGTCCCCACTCACAGCATCTAATTCCTTGAGAGCTCAGGTCACACGCCTTGCCCCTGCGCATTCCTGGTGGTGCAGGAAGACGCTCCCTGGCCTCATGGTCCACATTCTCCAGAGTCCTTGACACAGACCCGCCCCAACTTAGAAGCTGGAGGTACCATAGTCAGTCATCCATCTTCATCTCCTGAGCTGAGGCTGCCCAGGATGTGGACATGAGGACCTGGCTCGATGTGGTGCAGAGGGACTATGGGCTGGACAGTCGGCCACGTTCTCCTGCTGTCTTCCCTTAAACAAATAAGAGATAAAACAAATGGCAACCGAATCTCACCTGTGGTGGCATTTCGAGTCTCCTGGGAGCTGTTGATTCCATTCTTCTGCACCCACACGGAACAGGCATATAGAGACCCGGGTTCAAGTCCATCCACGGTGACGTTGGTGTCTGTTGTGCTTCGAGTCTCCGTTCTGCCACCGTCTCCGGTGCACTCAACCCAGTAGGTGGAGTTCTGTGGGTCTGTGCCCTCGGGGGCCTCCCAGCTCAGGGTGATGGAGCTGGTGGTCTGGGCCTTCACTGTCAGGTTTCTCACTGGGTTGGGGGCTGAAAAGCAGTATGAGAGGGAAAATCAGTTGCAGTTTCTGGCTCTGGAACTTTCCAGCCCTTCCTTAACTATTGAATCCAGCAAGTGGAGGCACAGCATTATCCAGTGTGGCAGCCACGAGTTATATGTGACTGTTGAGCACTCGTGATGTGGCTTTTACAAAATGAGGTGAGCCATTCGCGTAAGACACACACCAGGGTTTGAAGCTTTCATACGAAATGAAGAATGTCAACTATCTCACTGATCCTTTTTACATTTACTTACATTTATTTTTTATATATTTATTTATATTTCTTTTTATTTTTGCGGGTACATAGTGTATATATTTAATGATCCTTTTTATATTGATTATATGTTTAAATGAGAATATTTTGTATCTGCCGGGCACAGCGGCTCATGCCTGAAATCCCAGCACTTTGGGAGGCCAAGGCAGGTGGATCACCTGAGGTCAGGAGTTTGAGACCAGCCTGACCAACATGGCGAAATCCCGTCTCCACTAAAAATACAAACAATAGTCAGGC